TCATTTTTCTGACAGTTAGAAAATTGAATCAAAATACTTTAGAAATCAGTATTAGAAAAACCTATAATATATGATTCGATGCATCTTCATCGCCTCTTTCCAACGGTGAAAACTGCAGTTCTCTTTTCTTGTTTCTATCAAAACATATTCAAAAAAATACTTACTAGCATTCATGAAATCGTGACACATGCGAACAAAACACATCTTATCGAAATTTCATTATTATAATATTAGTTGAAGTATGATCAAATAGCATAGAAGGATAGAGCTTTTTTTTTCTATCAGGCTGTAGAGAAAGAAACTTTCTTTAAGTTTACTATACGGTATTAAAGTGTCACTCTCACTACTTTTGGTGTGCCCTTAGTGTTATCTTTGATTTGAATACAGAAATTTAACTTTTAATGGAATGGTGTAGACGGTATTCTGAAACCATTTTTCATTCGATTTTAACTTGCAATCTAACCATTCAATCTGTGCAAGGTCGAGCTCACTGGCTTGTTTCGTTCAGAAGTTATAAGCATTTTTCCGAGAGCTCCGAAATCGACTAAATGACCCTAAAAATGGATGAAGATAGGAGTAATCGGCCACAATGAATCGAGTGATGAGGTTTATTGTCAGTTTTAAAGCGAACTCAAGTCATTTAATGAAAATTTTTGAGATATGAGCCCCGCTCAACATAATGGTGGGATGTTGGGATTTAAAAAGTCTTCATTAAGTGACTTGAGTTCGCTTTAAAACTAACAATAAACATCATCACTCGATTCATTGTGGCCTATTACTCCCATCTTGACCCATTTTTAGGGTCATTTAGTCGATTTTGGAGCTCTCGGAAAAATGCTTATAACTTCTGAACGAAACAAGCCAGCCAGTTCGACCTTGCACAGATAGAATGGTTAGATTGCAAGTTAAAATCGGATGAAAAATGGTTTCAGAATACCGTCTACACCATTCCATTAAAGGTTAAATTTCTGTATTCAAGTCAAAGATAATAGTTCAAAGTGGTATTTTTTTAACGTTTTTCTGATGTAAAAAAAAGTTGTGAACACTCTGGCAACTATAAAAGAATCAGCCCATTTGATTAAACCAGAGTGAAGATATTCAAGTTTTTTATCGTAAAGTTATTTATGGGTCACCTTGTATTTAGTAGGAGCAATGTATACTATGAATATTTTCATGAAAAATTTTTCAAAAAATTTCAAAAGTCATTGTCGGTCTACCTCTGTGCCTCCTACAGAGACGGCAAAGCCGTACTTTGGCCATTTCCGTGAGGACTACTCTCTAAACAAAATCGAGATGTCATAAGTAACCATTAAGCGTTTTAGCCAGGATTTTGAACTTTTTTATGTTTCGTTCGTTTATTAATAAGCCATCAAAAGGTTCTAAATAATTTTAAGAACCATAACAGATAAAAAATGGTTCTAGAGGTTTAAAAAAGTTCTATTCCGTACCGTTTTTTTTTGTAAAAAACGATAAAAGATAAAAAATGATTCCAGAGATTCAGAAGAGTTCTATCTCGCACCATCTTTTTCTTATTAAGAACTTCTTTTACAAAGATGTTTCTAGCGCAAGTCAATTGAACCTTTTTGGTTAGCTCGCTTATTTGCAATATCTGAAATAATTTTTTATTGGATCACTGATTTCTCTGATAACCATGTTTATCAATCACTGTTACTATAGTTTTGTTTATCTTTTTAAAATACTGAATTTCGAATTGAATCGTATGCGCGCTAATCCTGCAGAATTCGGAGAACTTTACTATACGCTTGGAGTATGGTACAAAGGCATGAAGCCTCCCTAAAATTGTCATAATCTCATAGGTTTCATATAAAAACTCCTCGAGACTTCTCAGCAGAAAGAGATTCGCAGTGTCATTCTTTAACCCTTTCGAGTCGATTCGATTTTCCTAGAAAATAGCTTTAACAGATCCATTTTTATGTGCATTCATCTTTCGAAAAATGTATTCGTTGATCTTTCCAATGTGGGCAACTATTCGTTTTTCTTTTTCTTGTTTGTATCATCGCATAGGAGGTTTTCTTTCACGTCGAACTGAATAGTTACTCAAGTTTGTTTTTCTCTCTGTTACATGTATTATACAGTATCAACGAAATAAAGAAATAAAATTTCGATTTTTTTTCTTTTACATTCTTTTCGTAGCATTATCTTTGACTCTGTTAGGTGATGTTATGACCTCTTTCTCGTCCTCTCTCACTGCCATCGCTGTGATATGGCATCATCACACATAGGTACATACTCTATTTTTCTTTACTTTCGTTCTGTTGATATGTATGGGAAACACACATTATATCTTTCTCTGTTCTTTGTATACGTTCAGGTTATGCAAGTGCATTTTCTCTTTTCTGTTCTATACAGAGTGTTCCAAAAGTCCCCTGACATCATGAGTATCCTATAATA